GTATTACCTAAGGTACCTTGTCATGTATATTACCTCATGAACTTCGAAGTGACTCTGTACCTTCAAGACGGCACAGTTGTTGAGAAATTAGCAAGGTGATTAGGCAACGGCCCAAGGTCACGTGGCTTTGAGTGACCCGGCGATTTGATTTCGCCCTGCTGCCTACGGGATGCTGCTACTGCTGCAATGACGTCATGTCTCATGGTTTGTCAGCGACCAAGTACTCAATTCATTCTGCCTACCTATCTCATCTTGAGATATTCAAGTTTTACCTACCGATACCTTCCCTTACCTCACTTACAGAGTCTTCAACCCAAGAACTTGCCCTGCCGCAAGGTATCTACGGGAGGTACCTATGTGTGGAAGATACCTAAAGTAGGCGAGAATATATCTAATCACAGGTTATTCACTGCAACCATTCTGCAGCAGACACCCTGATTTCAACCACCTACCTTACCTGCTTCGCGTCCTCTTGCCCCGCCTGCCCCTGCGTCCACTGCGTATGGGCTTCCCAACCTGATATAAACATCCACACCAACCAGAGCCACAATGGCGGGCCGGAAACGAACCAGGGCCACCCGGCCCAGGGCCGCAAAGTCCGACGTACCGGATGTTTATCAAGAAATGCTGATGGAAGCTGCTGCGGACGCTGGCTCTCAAGCATTCTCAGAGCCCCCAGCTAAAAGACTAAAGCGACCTGGGGAAGGAAAAGCAGAGGCCGTGAAGTCACAGGCCACAGAAGAGGAGGGATCTGGGGAGGACGACGAAGACGCAGACATTGAGTTTGAAGACGTGATTTTGCCTCCGGCGACCGTCCAGACCATGTACCGAGATTCCGACGACGACGAGGATGATCTTGATGATGACACCGAAGAAGAAGTCGGAAATGAGGAGGCTAGCAATTTCGCCAATGTTGCCCATGGAGACATACGCCACTTTCAAGAGACTCAGGAAGAATCCCAAAAACTGACTCTCAATCTATCAAAGCATGTCAATGCGACGAGCGTCACAAGGAAAGGTGCCAACAAACGAAAGCCAGTGACAAAGGAAGAGAAGCAGCGGCGCATCACGATACACCAGACTCATCTGCTGTGTCTCCTGCTACACTGTGCCCTCAGAAATCGTTGGTGTGATGATGAACAGGTTCACAAGACCTTGCGTCCTCTGCTTTCGAAAAAAATTATTGGCTACTTGACACCAGGCCCTGATCTTCCCCAATTTGGACAAACGGAGTCCCTAAAGAACGGCCTCGAACAGGCTGGAGCCATATTCAGATCCAAATTCCAGATAACTGAACGGGGCCTGCGTCGACCACTATGGGCTGAAGATCCTGACCATTTGAACAACGTGAGTCTGTGCCAGGTTACTGCACTCGAAGCAACATGCTAATCCTCTTGCCTTAGTATGAGCCACCTAGCAACATGGATTCATGCTTAGACCGTTCGGACTTCAGAGACGCAGCGAGAAAGTTGTCAGGGTCTCGAGATACTGGCGCACAGTTATACTGTGCTTTGCTAAGGGCAGTAGGAGTTCGTGCGCGATTGGTTTGTTCATTACAGCCGCTGTCTTTTGGTTCAGCCGGTCCCTCTCTGCCAAGGCCCAGAGATGCAAAGCACTCGAACAAGCCTACCACGGAGGAGAAAATAAGGTCCCAGTTGCTACAATACAAGTCAGCTGTCGAGGAACCTTCGTCTTCGGCATCCGTCTTGACTTCACCGCTCCGTCGATTGGGTCACCCAAATGCCGCTGCCTACAAGCTGCCAACAACATCATCTTCACCGACTCTGCGGCAACAGGTTGAGGGTCCCGTGAAGATTCGCGAGTCGAGCTTCCCGGTATACTGGGTGGAAGTGCTAGACGTGGGCCACCAGAAGTGGCAGCCCGTAGACCCTCTGGTCACAAACTCCAAGTGGAAACCCAGACAGTTGGAACCCCCGGCAACCGACAAGGAGAACTCTATGACATATGTCATGGCTTTCGACACTGATGGCACAGTTCGAGACGTCACGAGGCGATATGCCAAGGCATACACGGCCAAGACACGTCGTCTGCGCATTGAGACAGTGATGGAACATGGCGAGGGTTGGTGGCGGAAAGCATTGAAGCCGTTCAGCCGGCGTCGCCTGACCGACCTTGACCAAATTGAAAATACCGAGCTGAATGCAATGGAAGCACGCGAACCAATGCCGCGAAATGTGGCAGACTTTAAAGACCATCCGGTATTTGCGTTGGAGAGGCACCTGAGGCGCAATGAAGTCTTTACGCCAGGCGCGCAGCCGGCAGGAACGGTAGCAGCAGGTAGCAGGGCTCCGCTGGAAAAAGTATATCGACGTAGGGACGTTCGAATTGCCCGGAGCAGGGACAAGTGGTATCGCATGGGGCGCGAAGTCAAGCCGATGGAGGTTCCAATCAAATTTCTGCCGCGAAGGTCCAATGCGAAACTGGGCGAGTACGCCGACGACGGTTACGGTGGGGACGAACGTGATGCCGCAGGAATGCCGGTCTTCACGCAGGATCAGACGGATATTTACCGCGCATCACCGGTCGTCAATGGGCGAGTTCCGAAGAACAAATTTGGTAACATCGACATATATGTGGAAAGCATGGTACCCGAGGGAGGGGTCCACATCCGTGACGAGTTCGACACAGCTGCTAGAGCCGCCTACGTTCTAGGGGTCGATTACGCGCCAGCTCTGTCAGGGTTCCAATTTAAGGGCAAACACGGGACTGCGGTCTTTAACGGCGTCGTGGTTGCGAAGGAGTATGAGGAAGCTGTGCGTGCAGTGATGACTGGGTTCGAGGATGTCGACGCACAGGAAGAGCAAAGCAAGCGATCCTTGGTCGCCATCCGGACTTGGAGACGGTTTCTTGTGGCGCTCCGGATCTTTGAGCGCGTGTGGGCAGGCGTCAAACCTGCGGAGCGGGCCGAGGAAGAAAGAAAGCTGACCGAATTCGTCCGGACCGACATAGATAAGGGGCCGGACAGCTGCGGTACAGGGGAGGGCGGAGGTTTCCTCATTGAAGACAGCGTCATGGTTCACGACGTTGCGCAGACATGGACCAGTGCGGGACTCGCGGGCAGGGCCGATGCAAGGGAGAGCACAAATGGCTCTGATCTAGAGAGAGGTGTTCATTCTGCTGCCCACAACGAGAATATGGGTGAGCGCGCCGCAGATAATGGGATGGAGGTTGACGGAGGCGGTTTCCTGGTTGATACTGATGAAGAGTTTGGTCACATTGATGCAGTTGAGAGAACTGATGGGGTTGAGGCAAGGCCTGAGAGTCAAAGGAAGGAAAGTCTTGGGGCAGAAGAGGATAATGAGGTCGAAGATGTGCTGAGCGATGTGACTGAGGAATACGATATGGAGGAAGATGAGAACGGTAGCGGATTCCTGGTGGATTAGGATTAGGATTGGTGGATGGGCCGAAAGACATTGATACCCTACAGAAAGCCGAATACGACTATTGAGGCATGAATCACTTTCCTGCTGCGCCTAGAATAACTTGAAGATAGAGACCAGGCTACCTACCTGGTCATCACACTTAGTGCGAGTTGATGTGAGTACAAAGATGTCTCGTTTTTCTCTACGGCGTCGCCTTGTTAAATTTCTTGACTTATTGAAGTAAGGGGAACAGCGTCGAATCATCGTACAGCTAGCCATTACTCCTTACAAAAGTACGAACACATGTACTGACGTCAACTCGCACTCGAGAGGATGGATATGTTTCTTCGCGGGTTCACAGCCTACCTTAGCTAAGTGCTATTCCTCATACCTGATCCGTAATTGTTAGTTTGTGTTTGAATTCGTAGAGATCTAGAGGGACGCCTGTCAAGAGGTCGAGCCAGTGAGGTGGCCCAAGCTCCTCGATTCGATGACGCACGGACGGATAGGAACGGCTATGTATTTTCAACGATGGTGGGTGGCACATTACCTAGGTACCTAAGGTATCTTAGGTAATACCATCTTCTGTACGGACCTTACGTACCTTCCCCCACTTCCACTGCCCGTCCCCAGTGGTTTTCCCGGCATCTCCAGAAAAAAAATTCTTCCAGTCAAGCGCGTCGGGCCCATGCGAGACGCAGAGTGTCCACGTCCCCGGTCCCGAACAAACCCTGACGAACCAGGAAAGCCCGCCCTGTGCTGACTGAGAATCCCAAAGGTCAAAACTCCAGCGCAATCCGGATCAATCAACGCCTTTCCAACCTCCATCGGCTGCCTGGTTCTTCCTATTCCGTCCACCAGATCGCCTGCTAAGCAGATCCATCACGACAGCCCGCGTCGGACTATCTTTTGAAGAGAGAGCAGAGGTCAGTCAGCCCGATTCATTATTTCCCCTCAACCCCCACGCGCTTTATCACTCGAGCGACTTGCTGCTGTTGCGGCGGCACTGCTGCGATGAATCAAAACCCTCGCAGATGCCATCGTTGTCGCACTATTGCGATTGACGATGGCTACAGAACTGCTCGCATCACAGCTGACTTCCGCGACTCGCCCCTACCTGGAGCTTGTCGCGCGAATGGATGGGAAAACTTTTGAGAACGCAAGCTACCATTCGCAATTGTCGCGTCGCAACGAGGGAGACAAGAGAAAAAGCTTTGCAAAATACTAGAGAGTACAGATACTAAACACATAGTTTAAAACACAGTGAATTGAAGCCTGCCTCGAGCTCGAGGACTCACCGCTTAGTCGTGCAACGCAATCGCGACGCGCTCCTGTGCATGCACGAACTCGCACTACACATTTCCATTGACGCGCTTTCTTCTCGTCGCGAAGAGCCTTCGACTTCCTACGTCCACCTTCCGCTTCCCGTCGCGCAACGAGTCCTGACTTCATTTTGACGCAATCCGCCCGTCAACCTTTCGTCGTCTTTCCAGCTGATGCTTAATTGTACACCCGGAAACCCTGAATAATTGGCCCTATTGTGTCTTGCGCAGCAGTGTCGCGAAACGAAATCGATAGTCGTCGGCTTCACACAGACCACCCTAGGCATCTCTCGCCATGACTTCGACGCAGGAAGGCGAGACGACCGAGGAAGAGAGATTAAAGGTGGAGGATCTCCAAGAGAGCAAACTAGAAGATGACAGCAGAACACATGAAGTCGGCTTGCGGGAGGACCGACTACAAGAGGACGATATCCAGGTAGATGGCTTGAACGATGACCGCATACAAGAAGAGAGACTCCACGACGCACCAGTGGATGAGCGACCGGAGCACGAGAGGCTGGAGCACGAGAGGCTGGAGCACGAGAGGCTCGAACACGAGAGACTGGAGAGCGAGAGAATGGACGAGGAGCGCATCCCGAGTTATCCGTCTCCTTTACCAGAGGAGCGACTTCAAGAAGCCGATCGAATACAAAGCTATCCTTCGCCATCGGCCGAAGCTCAAGACGGCGGTCCTTATTATCACCCGGCTACAAGGGACGATGACCCCCAAGACCAGCAACAGCCGCCGCCCACGCCACAGCAGCCCTCGTCTCACTCTGCCAGCGTGGAGGAGTTGCAGTTGGCTGCTCAGCTTGGCCAGGATCTTGCAGCAGAGCCCATGATGCACGTCACAGATCCAGGCATGAACGTCGAGGACCCAAGTCTTCGTAGCATCATGCCCAATCCTCATTCCCATTCTCATTCGGAGCAACCTCAACAGCAACAGGCCCAGGCCCCGACCCCAGCCCAGACACAAACGCAGACGCAGACACAGGCGCAGACGCAGGCTCAGACACAGGCTCAACAGCACCAGCACCAGCACCAGCATGCTCCTCACCAGCATCCGCATCAGCACCCTCATCAGCCCCCTCCCCTCCCGCCTGCCTCTCGTTCTTACGTGCCCGAGGAAGCATTGCCAGAGTCACTACAGCAACATATGTCCATGTCCATACCCATGGACCACCATCATCTTGCTCAACCATATGCCCTGGGTGACAGCACTCCGCCTAGAAAACGGTCAAAGGTGTCTCGCGCATGTGATGAGTGTCGGAGAAAGAAGGTCAAATGCGACGCTCAGTCAGATGCTGGAGACAGCCCATGCTCCAACTGCAAACGGTCTGGCATCCGCTGCATGTTCAGCCGTGTTCCTCAGAAGCGCGGTCCAAGCAAGGGGTAAGTTGAGGATGGCGCGCGCTTTCTCTATCTAGAAGATCCGGAAACTCACACAATGCCTTAGATATATAAAAGAACTTGCCGACAGGATCAACAGCATTGAGGGCAAGTTGGAGATCCAAAGTGAGTCATTGCCACCCGAGTCAATGGTAAACTGGACCTCTGCGGCAGCAATGCTTAACTCCATGTCAGGCCCTGGTGAGGACACCAGCCGGAAACGACCATTCTCCAGCATCTCCAGTACCGACATCTCTACCCCGGCACCACAGAGACAGGTCGCCTGGGGCACCGAGCCTCGCCCTCTTCAGCCTATTACAACACCGTCTGATCGTTATCAACCGTCCCCTTTCGCCACCAATGGCTTGGCACCCCAGCCCATGGCTTTGCCCATTAAGAATGACATGCAGCCACGGCCCCCTATTGCGTCAATAGATGGCCCTGTGGCTGACATGCCTGATATCGATCAGGCGCGGGATGTGGATGAAGAGGTTTTCAATGGGTACGTGGTCAATTTCTCTTTGCCCTTGAAAAGATGAGACTAATACAGAGCTCTTAGCTACCTGACCATGATTCATCCTTACTTTCCCTTTCTGCCGAGCAGCAGGGTGCTGATACAAGAATATTTGGCTCAGTGCCCCGGCCTTCTGCGGGAAGCGTTTGTAGAGGCTCTCTCGGGAACCATTCACTCATTCCCTTCGTTCCAGTCTGGTACCCCTGGAGATGTCCGGCTCGCCCACACGCTATTAGTAGAATGGGAGGCTAGCGATTCTACCTCTCGGACTGCAGTTGCAAACCTGGTTTTCCTCCAGACACTTCTCCTCATGATTATTGAGGCTGACATTCGACCATTGGGCTCCATCGGCGCACCCAAGGAATCCCTATTGGGCAGAGCGGTAGCGAGCGCCAATACCCTGAAGCTGTACCAGGCCAAGGCAGATCTTTCCGAGGCTGAAGCAGGCCCAGATAATGAAAGCCAGCTTCGTGTCAGGATTTGGTGGTCGTTGGTCTTGCTCGACCGATGGAATGCTGTGGGTGCTGCGGTGCCTTCCTTGATCCGAGATGAAAGCGTGGTCCTGGCACCTGGCCTCAAGGCGGTCATCGGTGAAGTGCCGTATCTGCTGATCCGTAAGTGTTCTTTTGAAGAAATTATGCCCATTTATGTGTGAGAGTATTACAGGGTACTGACTATATAGCAGGTGCGTCCAAGTTCCTCAGCCGTGCGTCGTCCATGATTACCAACTTCCAAGAGCCACTCAACACAACCTTTGCGGACCGCATGGTGGGCTCCTTTATGGATGCGTGGGTAGAAGACTTTCGTGAGGATCTGCCTGCCCACATTGGGCCCAACATTTATCCTGTTATTCACCTCGTATATTGGCATTGCCGCTTGTTGGCATATCTTCTCAACCCATCCGCCAAGTCCACCGATGTCTTGTGGCCCAGTCAAGAGCTGATCAACCTCCTGATTGGCCATTCGCAACTCATCACGCCCTTGCACCATCATTTTACAGTTCTTGCGGTGCTCACATTAGTCGAGCTGGCAAAGTTGGATAAGACAAAGGAGGAGGCCACAAGGCTTCTTGGTGAATTCCGAGACTCTTCACTTCCAGCTTCCGTCTTCGATGGACTGGTTCGGGACAAGATTGCTGATCACCTTCGCCTCTCCACTAATACTGCCGCAGCTCCAGCTCCATCTGCTATGGAGGCAGCTGCAAGCCAGGGGCTGCAGCATCTAGCCGATTTAGCAACTCTTTCATCAGCTGCTGTGGAAAAGACAGAGGAGGCACCAGCCTACCGCACTGCGCTCAGCTACGAAGACATGGGCTTCGACCCTCGGCCGTTACTGCTTATCGGTTACCTCAATGTTGTCCGTGCAACTCAACAAGCAGCTTAGGAACCCTCTCATCTTGCGTGGATCGAACAGCGGCAGCAACGGCAGCAACGGCAGCTGCATGAACAACAGCAGCTAGCGCAGCAAATGGCAGATTGTCAGCAGCCACAGGAGATGGGGAGTGTCGTGGAGTCCCAGCAGGTACTGCATCATCCACAGCATGGAGAGGAAGAACTGCAGGTGCAGGGGCACCCGCTGCTGCTGGAACAACAGCAGCCCCTGCAGCTGGAGCATAAAGCTACCGAGCAGCATAGTGCTCAACCGCCGAACACGGGTTTTCTGGGACACTCAGAGGTGACTGGCAAAATTCACTTTTGGTACTATTGAAGATGTTGACAGCAACAGTGGGCGAGTGCCTCTATGTTGGAAGGAGATCAAGTGTGGTTGCGCGAAAGGTTGATATGGATCAATCGGGTTGTTTATCCATATAATTATTCTCCGCCAGTGGAAGATACAGATGCTTGCGACACCTATCTGGGTGCTTCAGTATCAGTGTATTAATATGAAGTGTAATGTACAATCAGTTCTCTCTATAAGCCGCATCCTTATATGCCAAAGCCTTCTCTCGCCTTGATGCCTGTCATGGGCGATGGCTCAATGTTATGGTCTCACACTTGCACACACCAGATGCTACCGCTTGGGAGTCTCCATGTCATTTTCCCCAGCTCGCCCCTTGTTGTCACCGACGCGCGGGTGGTGGAGGGGGCTGTCCTACGAAACTTGGTCGTTGGCTTGAGGTGGAAGGCGGTGAAGGCTTTGACCCGAGAGTAAGGTAAGCTGCTAATGAACCAACCCCCCCCCTTCCTCTCTCCAAATCACAGTTAAACTATCTGTAGCATGCGTAGGTAGCCTCGATCTCGAAGCGGCACATGGGAAAACCTGCTAGCTGGCGCACCGCGCGCCTGCTGGACCCATGCAGGAAGAACCATGTGATGTATGCCGTCAGAGTAAATTGACTGACAATGTATCGAAACTGGGTTCCAACTCTGTGGGAAAATCTGTGATGGGTAGTGCCCCGAACTCTGGAAAGCAAGTATCCTATTCTTGTACCACACCTCCCGGACTTCTCTCACTGCCGAGTTTGCCGTTATGACTTATTCTCAGTCTCTGGCACGTTAGCCGCGACTCAAGGCAAACGAACATACGCTCGCCTACATGGTACGGCATCTACTTCAGGGCTGTCTGCGTCGATTGGTTGCAGTCCCGACTCCCGAGCACCGGAGATCATCGATGCCACCGCCCACGGGGGTTGGACAGCCCCTGCGAAGACCCCCCCTGTGCCCCCTTTCCCTCGTCTAAAGGCGCCGAGAGCCGCGCCGGTGTTGACAGCAGGTGATGACACACTCTCATAGTCGCACACACACCCACACTCTGGCTCGGCAGCGGCGCCTCCACCAACCCAGCCACCGTTGCCGGCCCAGGTGACCGTTTCGGCGTGCATGCTCCTACCTACTACCTACCTACTCGATGGCTCTGTATTCTTACGGATCCTGGTCGTGAGCCTCCACTCTCACCAAGTATTAGGCATACCTATCCATAGAGTCCACAGCTTCTCGCAACCATTCATTGAGTTTGGCACTGTATCTGCCAGTGTGTGCTCCGGACCTTGGACGCCCGAGGTCTGATGGCCCTGACTGGGTGATCAAGTCGCAATCCACACGGTCCTCGCGGAGCTTGGGTGGGTTCATCAATCACCGTTGCAACTTGCCCAGTCCCTCTCGATTCCCGCAAACGCCAGTCTCGGTGGATCCCCCTTGAGAGTGAGTGCCCCGAGGAGGGGAGAGAAGAAAGTGGAGGGAGGTCCGAGGAGGAGAATTATTACACAACGGTGGGCACTGGCCACTTGGCACTCTCAGTGCCATGCAGCACAAGGGGGGAACTTCCCTGGATGGAGATTGAACAGGACGTGGACGATTTCCGGACAGAGTCACATTCGGTGACCACCGTCGACCCTACCAATCAGCCAGTTGGAAAACACTGCTGGGGCCCATGGTGGAAAACGCCGATGGTGAGGCGGTGCCAGCCTGAATGGACGATATGCAGGAACAGGAAAGGAGGGTCCCCCAACGGAGCCCTGAAGCCCTAAGGGTACGGATACAGGTATGTAAGCCTGTAAGGCAGTTTGCGAAGGACGCCTGCAGGCTGCAACTGCCTGTCTCTCACTGAGTCCCGGGTTTGCCCGCCTCTACTGCCGGCCATCTGCTCGGCGAAGGTGCTGCGTTTTGCTTCGAGTTTGGCTCATCGATACACTCAAGTACCTACCTACCTAGGGATGTCATTTACTGGGTGGTGAATCTCAGGTACTTGCAACGAGCTAATGGCTGATAAAGTAAGCAACCTAGCCACAGCGCACGAGGGAGAAGCATCAGTGCTGTGCTCTTCATAACCTCCCTACTGGTAATTGAAATAGATGTGCATAGAACAGATGCAGCACAGAACAAACACATGCAAGCCCTCATCTAAACAATAAACCCCCCCTTCCCCCTCCCCCTCCCCTCCTCCAGGACCGCATAACTCAATCGCTATTGCAAGGCCCTTTTATCTGATTGATGTGGGCCCTGTCATCGAACATCGAAAGCCAAGTATATACGTACCAAGGTAGCTTTGATTTTATTAGATCGTTTGTCCTGTGCCCCTCTCTCATCTCATTCGCATTCGTCATCCACATCGGTGGCACATTCAGTTTCCGGTTCGTGCACCGTTTGACTTATTGACTTGCCTTGACAGTTAACGATGAAGTTGCCAAATGCTTGTCAAAAAGTAAAATGAAAATCAATAGCAAGGCATTGTCTTGCTGAGCGCATGGTAATTTGTAAGTAGGTAATTCACCAAGAGATTGTCAAATTTGAATTGCCAATTATCAGTTGAACCCTTTTTACCCACTACTACGGACATGCGAATCTCGATCAGTGGCCTATTACCCTATTCACCTGGCAATGTATCAAGCCCCCTTCGTCTCTGAACCATTCCTATCACTCCATGACCCGCTAGCATGTCGTTACGGGCGGAACATCACTTGCAGCCCGTATCAAGGGAAAGTAAGAGCCATGGAAAGCAAAGCTGTTGCAAATGCGCAGCAAAGCTCAAATCGATCACTCTACGCGAACAATCCTTCGTGAATGCGCCTCCGCGATCGCCTGGATATAGATACTATTTTGATTGCCTCGCACTTTGACAATAAGGAATCGAAACCGCTGGGATCTCTCTATATACAGCTTGTTCATGTGCAGGGAGGGAAAACGATATGTCGTGAGGGTGAGCCAATTGCACACTAAAATCCGGTTTCCAAGGCCTACATGCATAATTCGTCGTCGTCTGTAACCAAACAATCCCCAATAGCCTCACCCAGATGCTACCCAGTTGCCTTTGCGCCAAGTCCAGTTGATGATGGTGATAATAATGAGATGCTGTCACTCTTTTTTGAGCCGCCCGCCCCGTCTTTTTTCTTTTTCAGTCCCATGGTCAAGCCTAACGTCAAAACATAAGAAAGATATAGCCTCTAATGCTGTCCGGGTAAAATGTAAACAAAGTCGAAGAAAAAAACAAGAGGTCTACGCCAACTCCAAGGTATGGATATCGTAGCGGGCATCTATCCAGTCGTCCACCACAAAATCTCATCTCGCCTATGCTCGCATCCCTTGCGCCTGTACTTGCCGTCTAAAAGTCGTTGGACTGGATATCATTGGCGTGCAAGCGTCGAAACTGTCATCATATCAAAACGCTTACGGCATTGTCCAGGGTTCCGGCTGAAACTGAGGCAGGCCATCTGGCGACTCTTGGTATGTGGCGATGCCGTCGTTGAATTGCTGACCCCAGAACGCCGGGTCATCTTCAAAAGTGAGAGAACCGCCAGCAATCGGGCCGCCGTCATCAAATGAAGAAGGTGCTGCCATGAACTTATTGTTCGATGATTTGGCGAAGCTGTCGTAGTCAATCGTGCTCAGGTCTGCTCCAGTAGCAAGGAAACTCGCTGGGTGAATAAAGCTGTTGCTTCCAGTGCCGAAGCCGTCGTAGTCACTATCGCCAGCGATGAAGTTGTCCTCTACTTCAGAGACCTCCCCAGACGTCGAAGTCGTCGCGGCGAGGGTGGGAGCTGGCTCGGAGCCCGTACCGAAATCGAAAATGCCATTGAAGCTCTGAGCGCCAGCCTGGCTGTAACTCGAAGGAGCAAACTTGTCCGTCCTGTCGGTGAGATCGATATGGCTCCAATCCACGGATGCAGCGCTCAGCCCAGCACTGAAGATTGGCGCATCGTGATCCGACGACATTCCTGATCCGCCAAACAGGTCGAAAGAGGCGTTGGGTACATATGTCGGGTACTCAATGCCAGAGAGATCAAGGGGCGGAAGCTGGTTGTTGAGTTGCTGGAAACCAGATGAACCTCTCATGAGTGGAGAAGCAGCTTCAGACTTGACTAGTCTCTGTGGAACAGGTGCGACGCGGCCCGATACGGGATCCTTGAGAGGGTTGTCACTGATGCGCTCCGGGGAGTGGCTGCCCAAGCTACTGGTGCTATGCAAGGAATTGACACGGCTGAGTTGATAAGGTCCGCACTTCTGAGAAGCCTTGTTGAGCTTGTGTGCTGGTTTGTGATGGCCGTGCTCGTCGAAGGTCAACATGCCATCAGAATGGACCGTATTCGCACGCCGCCTGCGAACGGGCGGCTTCGGCCGAGGTGCGATGGCTTCCTTGTCGGAGTCGGATTCGGGGACGGTGTCGAGGGCTGGTTCTTTCTTGTGGCTACAAGTGCAGCGACCACCATGATTACAGCAACAAGTCTCTGCGCGCGAGGAACATGAGTGTTAGAGGGGATTATTCTCATCATGGAGGCGAATACTTGTCAGAAGCACAGGGCAGACTCACCTCTATGGCCATCGGCCAAAGGTTGCAGGTGAGCGCATTTGCTTGTCTTCTCACCACAATCGCACTTGATGTGGGCAGAGCGTGACTTGCGCATCGACCGACAATGTTGACATTGGGAGACGGGGCGACCCTTCTTGTTAATATGTTGAAGGGGACGATCTGCAGCAAAACAAGCGGTTAGCTGCACATGTTTGCTAGAATCTCGATGCTCAGTGGTGTAGTTGGGGAAGGAAATCCCCCAAGTGAAAGAGGTAGAGGTAGCTTGGGGTATGTTGTGGTATAGCTAAATGAGCTGCATTGCATGGGTGCAATTGCAATGAGAAGAGAAGTGCAATGAAAGGCCCAAGAACTTACCAGAGTGTTGGCAATTGCTAACACGGTGACCCCGAACGCAGGCCTCGCAGGCATACTTCTCCCCGTCGATAATCATGTCGGGCGAGGCAAAACAAGCAGCAAAATGGGGGATGAATGGTTGGGAGGAAAAAAGCGATTCTAAGTTCCCCCGCCACGAGAGTTTGGGAAGGAGAGAGATCGAAGACAATCGGCGGTCGGCAGGCGTGCAAAGAAACGGTCGAGTCGAAGACGAGGATATGGTAGGTCGGGTCGGCCTGGAAAGTGGGATTTTCTTGCCCTGGAGCGTGGAGCGGGAGCTCTTCGGTCTCGTTACAGAATGTTTGGCGTGGGCTGGGGGGGGGGGCCGTGTTAGTCCAGTGCCCCTGGTTGGGTTGGATGCCGTGGGTGCGATGGCTAAAAGCTGGGCCGGCCGGTAGCGGAAGCTGGAGGGTTCTGGGTGTCTGTCCGTCCGTACTTTACGTACGGCTGTACGGATGGTGCTGGGACTGTGTGTGGTAGGTGGTAGGTGGGAGGTAGTAGGTGGTAGGGGTGTTGGTGGTGGGAACTTGGCCAAGGGTTTGTTTGTGTTGTCCGTCCTCTGGGAGGGTTACGGACCTCTTGCCTCTTCTTTTCTTGTGAAGAAGAGGGGAGAGACTGGAGTGACAGTGACCGCCAAGCACGACAAAGTGTGGAGGTCTATGAATAGGACATATCCGTGGGGTATACGGATAGCAGCTAAAAGATTTTCATAAAAACCAGAAGAAAAAAAGAGATGAGGACGACGGACGAGGGCAGGGTCGGCCAAGCTTCGAGGTACGGAGGTACTTGGGACCAATTGACCGATGTCAACGTCCGGAACAAGTGGGTAAGTCTAGTCGAGTGGTGGGTGTTGAGTGGAGAATTTTCATCACCTTTCCAATGTTGTGTCTGGGCTTGCTCCAGTTGTTCAAGCCTCAACCAGGTTGGCGCACGCGAGGTAGAATACCGACAGCAAAGGTTTTGTTCTCAGCAGCCCGTGACAGAAGTAATCGAGAAAACACGGGTTCAAAAAGATTCAACAGAGGACGGCAGAGACAGTGTAGAGCAGTACGTCGCAGGAGAGGGCCCGTAGAGACGAGCTGCCAGTATCGTATTCTGTAGAGCAGTCTGGTAGGGGTAGCTGAGCGTGTCGTCGCTAGTGAGGGTCGTCACAGGGCCTGTACCTGGGGCGCAAGGGCTGAGCATGTGCAACAAACAGGATGTGGTCGGTGTGTGGCGGACCGTGGTCGTCGACGAAGACCGTGCAGCGCTGTGCAGCGATTGCCGGTGTTGGCGCCTTCCCAGCTCTTCTCTCGCCTAGTGTAGCGTATGAAGTAGTGTCCGGGTTTTTGGGGTTGCAGGGAGGCGGGATGAAATCGAGACTCTGATTCGGAGACGCGGGGGGTAAACCAGCCGACCAGTCGCAGCTAGGCGTTGAGGCCCTGGAGGGTGTGAAGATCGGAGGGGTTGGAAGCAGCGCTGCGCAGTAGGGTGGGGGTTCGAGGTTCCCTTCTTTCCTTTGCTGGCACGGTGGCAGGTCTGTAGCGGAATGGCGTCAAAGTCAAGTCTGTACGTCTTCGCTGACAGGTATCCGTAGGTAGCCTTTGGCCCTCTTCACAGCTGGGCTAAGGTAGCTTGGCTGCAGACTGTGTCAGGCAAGGCACGGTCGGAGAGACTGTGGCCGAAAGAAGGTAAGGTAGGTATGTACCTGTGCAATGGGATTCCGACAAGATTCCCGAGGCAAGGGGAAAAAGGTCGAAACTGTCTTTGTATCTGTAGGTCGTAGGGAGTAGGAACAGGGTGCGGAAAGCTGCAAGAAAACGGAGACACTGGCACCTCGAGGGGAGCAGCTGGATCGAGTGGTGATTTCTTGGCCCTTGGAGATGACGGCGGTTGGTCGGCGGTGCGGTCCTTCGGTGGTGAAGCCCGAAGTAGATGAGTTCAGAGGTCGGGAGTTTGGTCGGCCAAGGGCGGGCGGGCAGGCGGATTCAGCCTTCAGGGCAGTGAACGAGACTGGCCGTCGGAGCTAATAACGCGAGATGGTGGCTGGTCGCTGAATTTCTGAAGGCCCTTGGCTCGTGGGAACCTTGAGAACGGGGGGTTTGAACGGTAGCCTAGAAGTGTGTTGGTACCTTGAGGGGCCGGCTGTGATTGGCGGGGAAGTAGGCGATGACTCGGTCGCAAACTAAGGTAAACTCGCAAAGTATTCGTAATGTCGTACGGATACTCTATCCAGGACTTTGGGACTCCTCATTCCAGAGTTGAAGGACAAGACACAAGGTAAGATCGGGTTGCACGATAGCTAGTTATGCCTTCTGTCGTATTCGCTGTAGGTTATTCCAAGGGCCGACTTTGCGCTGGCTCGACGAAAGGCGTAATAATTGCTCATGTGTAAGTGAGGTGGCCTCGACTGGCAACCTGGTAAATACTGGAGACCCTGTCTGGAGACTCCGTGTGTGTCAGTGGCATGCGGAGCGCAAGCTGTGTCCTGCCTTGATACTCAAGGAGGGGAGCGATGCGTCGCCTGACGGGCAGGAGAGTGAGGTAGTCTCTCCGTGGACACGATGAAGTTTCTCGAAAGATTGCAGAATAATGGGAAGGGACGTGGGACAGGTGGCAAGGTGAAGTGGCAGGCGCCGGGGCGGACGTGGGAAGCCATTTTAATGTTTGGGGCCTTCCGCCTTCAAGAATTGGGATTGGGGTGAGATTGAGATGATGCATGGGACAGGAAGGCGAGGCGCGGTTACCTTCCCTGGGCCACACTGGCACCTGAGGTTGACTTGGAGTGACGGGCAAAGACGGCGGGGACGGCGGTAGCTTCTTCCCTGCTTTCTCAAGCATCTTATTGTGCTTCTTGTTGTTCTCTTTCTCGCCGCTGCTGATTGTGGCCCCAACAGGTACATCAAGGTAGCCTGATCGAGGTGTGTTGCGTGCCTACTTACTGCTTCAGCACAAGGAACTTGCTACGGTGAAGGCCGACTCGGTTAGCAACTGACTGTGCCCATGGAGAGAATGGCACGGAATGGCAATAGCTAGTCGCAAGGCAGAGGACGGGAAAGGGCCACGACAACGGCGATGGCCATGACCCGGTGCCATGTATGTAGTGGTGGTGAACGGAATAAATTGGAATGGTGAAATGCGAGTGCGCGAAAGGGTGCACGCCTGAGGCGGGTGCCCTGGTCTTCATGTCAGGTCTTTCCAGAATCCAGCAGCCAGCAGGCAGGCAGGAGCCAAAGAGGGAGGGTTCGCCCATGCATCCACCACCTGCAGACTGTCTGGAGGCCATGATTGGGTCTTTGGAGCCGTTTCTATGGGGGGTGGGCCCCGTTCGACCTGGATGTGGGCAGGTACAGACAGTCCCATGAAGTTATGTACTCCGTACAGCTGGGCCTGGGGCTGTAGCTGGAGTTGGCGTAGATGTTCAGAGGAACGACCTGAGTAGGTAAGAGCAAGGTAATCTGTGACATGCCTTACTGGGCGAGAATGAAAGATCAGGTTCATTCGCGGGAGTTAAGAAGGCGATCAAGTACCTACCTACATACCTACCTGGGTACCTAAGGTAGAAGGGGATCATGAGAGCAACGCCACATTGTATCGCGCGGGAGTTCCTCACACTGATACGAATACCTCAAGAAGCTGGATGCAGACCTCAGTTGAAAACTGGCATGTGGCAAGCACTACTGTGTCCCTCGAGATTGGTATTTGTCTTGACTGTTGCGCCTTCAATATCTCATCTCGCCTTGGCAGCCCAACCTATCCATCAACTCCCGTGTATCTTGAGGTATTCATACTTACTCATACTAAGTCCTCAGAACATGTATTGGGTGAAACAAGCGAGACAATCACCCGTCCCGATCCCGTCCGACTATCCCGTACGGTGTAAGGATGCTAAGTACGTTATCCGTAAGTTCTTTGCAGAGTGTGAATATAGGCACAATGCAGCCTTGCTGCGTTGCGGATAAGACGGTCAAGACGGTAAAGACGGGATGAGGATGAGGATGCAAACGCCCCGAATCATGCCGATAAATACGATGCACCTCAAGGCTCGGACGGCGCTTCGTTCCGTATTGCTTACACAGTAGTCTATCTGTACCTACCTTCGCGTGTCTTTCCAACAGTCTACTTACGTGATGACCTTACCTGTCCTCGAACACAACCTTGTTGGTCCTGATCCGACAGTGGAGACCGGCTGGTGCTCCAAGCGTGGACTGGCACTCTGGAGTCTGGGGTTCAGATTCTGGAGTACCCATTTCATGATCCTTCAGACTCCAGTTTCCGACGGTCAGGACGGCGGCACAAAACACACGCTGGTCAATACTTGGCATGCCGTTTCTTATGAACATACGGCTATAGGCACGGATAATACTTGCGCAGTATTTGAATTGAAGCTCATGCAGGGTATATATGCTCGTGCCCAGCAGCTCGTTGGACTGTTCTACCAGCTAAGTGGCCGAAGGTAGGACAGGAACGTCACTTTCATTCGTACATGGCCATTGGATCTCAAAGGTCGTCAGTTGCATCTACATTACGTACGCCGACCTCGACGTCTGCGCTCAAAGTAAATGAACTACTGACTCTCAAGGAGTACCTTGGGTATTACTTCGTAACCAGCAAAGAGACATCAATTGCTGCCACTAAAACTAAGGGTAGCAGCAACAGGAGTCGCCAAGAACAAACTGCAACTTCACAGCCTCGATACTAACGCTCTGCGGGTACCAGTCATGACTGTGACTTGGAACCGTGTTAAGAAATCAACGATTCCTGACACGGGCCTCATTGTCTGCAAGCTTGGCGAAAGGTACTGGGGCATTTTGATCCCCTTGACTGGCGCCTAGACAGCAGAGCATATCTTTGTGATTAAAACATCAAGTTGTAACGTACTCGCATCAATGTAACCTCAGCTGATTCCCAACTTCTCATGATAGTCAAGACGACTGCTCAAAGCCAGGTGCCCAGCAACGGGTTTTAGATAGTTGTTCTATGCCAGGAGCGAAAACACCAACGTCGAGTGATATGCGACAGTTGATGCCGATCTACGTAAAACGTAGTTCTGGCAATTACATCACATGGCGAAGGGATGACCGTATCGATGCCCAGATACGATTTTGGGTCCAATACGAAGCAAGGTAGAGTTCCGCAATGGATGCGGAAATCAGAGCTCCGGGAAATTGAAATTCGCGTTGAAGTGTCACAACCAACGTCTCCAGTAGCGATGCTGTGAGCTTTGTGTCCGGCGAAAGCCATTGTGAAGCAAAGAAGAGCATGGAGCCTCATGGTTGAGACTCGTAGCGAGGCCAGGGTTTGACCAAGGTCTCATCACAGGCAACGGCGGCTACCGCGATGAACTGCAACGTCTGCCGCTGCCGGCCTTGACGTGGGAGTGGCAACACAAAAGACGTGAGTGGCCTGGGTAAGACGACTCGAGTTAGAGAGAGATGGGGGAGAGAGAGAGAGAGAGAGAGAGAGAGAGAGAGAGAGAGGCGGCACGAGATCGGAGAAGGTTGAATTGGTGGTTTGCTGTGAAAGAAAGAAGAGGAAGAAAAATTTTCGTCAGAAACAGAAATGGGCGGCGAGGGGTGGGGTGGGAGGGAAAGGAAGCCGTGGGGTGAGGTAATTGGGAAGGCGGTGCAGGCTGCAGCTGCCGCCTGTGAGGCGCGATTGACCTGAGGCACTCATACATCTGCAGATGTCTTTTGAGCCTTGGATTGAAAGTCAGGCCTGAGGTTGAGATTTCTAGGTACGCGAGCAGTTTCAGGGCTTCAGGGCAGATGCCTCAGGTACTCTGTACAGTCGAGAAAGATGCAGATACCTAAAGTCTTCCCAGTTTGGTAATTATTACGGAGTATCCGTACTGTGGTCGGCTAAGAAGGTACAAATGAAATGCTTTGTGACAGGGCGAACAGTCGGGTGAACGTTTCCTGATTTCTGGCACCCCCACCATGCTAGAAGGTGCATGACGGCAACCATCAACATTTACTGCGTAGGCATGACTTGCCTCATGCCCACGATATCTATCAATTTTGCGCATACGTGCTTGCCATGCTTTAGGTAACATATATGTAGGCACTGATTGCCCAAGTCGCCATCTTATCTCACGCTAAAGTTCTTCGATTGCCAAGATAGGTGTCCGTATCTCGAGAAAGAAGCACATGATTGCCGGTATCTAGGACGATGACGATGGCTGCAACCCAGCTGCCCAGCTGCCCAGCTACAGTGTATCCGTAGATGCGTGCCCACGGCACAGCTTCTAGAAGTCTGCATGGAAGACAACCTGATCGGGCCAACCGACGGGAGGACGAGAAAGGGTGGTATGGCGGCATGGTTTGCATTCCGCCTTCCTCCTTCCATCTAACCATTGGCCATCAGCCAGGTCGGCTGCCCGTCAAATTATCGGCGCTAAATGCTTGGGTCTGTGCGATTGACTGTGAATGGGAGGTGCTGCGTCCGTCTGTGTGTCGTGCGTGTCTACTCGGAAGATCCTTTCTCAGTCGATGCTTCACCTGCTGCACCGTCTGCTACCACCTTCGGCCCTTCTTGACACGGTGCAGCGCTGAGGTCGACCGTCGGCTGCACCTTCGCGACCCCCTCACACCCTCCGACAGGCGCCAGGCGCCAGCTGACTGTGCCGAGCGACTCTGGCTGATTGACGGTCCATCTCGTTGGTCAACCCTTACGAGGGTGTCCTTGACTGTCAACCTTTGGGGGCTTCTCTGCTCAAATCAACGTCTGAAGAGTCTTGAAGCCCTCGGTGTCCGCTTTAGGCTTAGGTCTGTAGTCTCTACTTTTTGAGATCGCAAGGAGACTTATAGACGGACAACATGTTGATCAAAGCCCGCAGACCAGCAGCCACAAGTCTGACCAAAACATGTATCCCCCTAGCTACAATGGACTCTAAAAGTCGCGTCTAATTTCTACACATGATGAGTTTGCTACGGAATCGATATCTGTGTGTACCAGAATGTAAACTACTGTGCCCACCTGTCATTGTGTCTCTGTTCACCAAGCCGAGCGCCAACGGTCGGAGCAACGTGAGGCGAATACAGCTTGCCAAGTATATTTAGAGAGTGGTACCCTTGTATCCGCTGCTTACATTGCCCCTCACTACCCCATTTTGCAGCCAGACCAAAAAAGAGAATCGGTTGCCCTCGGCCATTGTCGTCTCGTCGTCGAGTTCGTCTCATTATCGACTCGTGCTCTAGCTCGGGTGCAGTTCTTGTGTTCGGGTCGCACTAGCGAAGCGGCTTCCGCTAACGACATGACACGTTAAACCATTCTCGTTCAACGATGCTGAAAATGTCAAATGAAAGTTCGATAGACCATTACGAAGGAACCCGACGTCGATCGATTGGTGTGGCTTACAAGTTACGGTTCCGGGTCCTGAGGACTCGTCGGCGAATTTAGATTTGAGAGAAGGGACCTTGGATGAGGACCGGAGCTTCATACAACCCTTCATGTTCATGTTAATGAAAACTCGAGTAGCGCACGATCAAGATGTTTTGCGCAATCCAGAACCGCAAGGTCTTTGGACAGCCAAGGTGCCTCGCATCGAGAAGAAGAGCAATTGCTATCATGGACCAAGACCATGCAGGGCAACTCTACCTGTCGGACAAATGGGAATGCAATGAAGCGGGATAACCAAGCTGCCAAGGACTATTGACGTCCGATCGGCCAACTACATCTGTGCCCTTTGTGCGGTTCGCAGAATGCAGGCCAGAATGCTGTTACAAGCGGCGAAATCGAGGCACATCCTTCCTCCTCAGAGATCAGGGAGGTGGATTGACATTAGCATTCCCCATGTCACCCGATATCCGTGCTAAGATGGAAAATTCGAAGTGAGCCTCTTGGATGCAAAAGCGTCCAAAGCGCTTCTTGTAATTACTTTTCCCCCTACGTTGAACGGCTGGTCTCCTTTGTGGCTGCTCTTTGAGAAGCCGACTTGAACCGCGAAAGCCCAATTGCTCTAGCCCTCCCCGCCCCCTCTTTAGGCTTCGGCTTTCATCTGTTAGTCCTATTTTTATTCAGGTACGGATACTCCGCACTTCGTGACCGGTACTGGCGGTGTGGCTGGAAGAGGTGTCATCCAGCGACTATTTGTTGCTTCGACCGGTAAGTCCAAATTTGGAAGCTCCGCTGCCATTCGACCTCTTACCATCTACGTAGATCGTGCTTGTAGTATTAGTAACGACGGTGAAACGAAGGCCTTGATGTTGTTGATAGCTGCGCGAGTTTAATACTATTTAACATACGAAGATGTCCGTTGCCCTGATGCATGTCTCGATCTAAATGTGATGCGGAGGTCGAAAAAGGGAGCCATGGAGGTAGCATGGTGTCCCGACGAGTAATGTCCCTCTAGACTCACCCAGAC